ATATAATATATATGTATTTGCTGCAGTACCTGCTGTGACCTTTGGATGGCAGCCTGCACTAACTGCACTCTCTGTGTGATGGTCTCTTGGGCTTGGCGGTAACGCTGATTGGCATCGGCGACCAGGCGGTCCAGGCCTTCTCGTGCACGCCAGGGTTATGCGCTTTATAAGTATTAATTAACAGTCAATATGTTATTAATAGGTGTGCTAATAAGCAACTAGTTAATAGTGAGAATTGGTTCCTATACTAAAGTGTTACCATTATTTTGTATTTTATTATAACAATTTATATGTACTTTAAAGTATTACATCATTCTAAAAAGAAAAAAAAAAGACATATTGTAAAAGAATTATATCAAATTTAATTTTAATTTCCTAAAAGAAAATACTAATGCTTGCAAGGTATGGAAAGAATAAAGTTAAATTTTAAGTAAGTTTAGGTTTTGGCTGTGTGTTGATTCTCGTGCACGCCAGGGTACCAGATCCAGTAAAGCACTGCCCACCTCATTCACTGTGTCCAGAACTAACCTCTTCTCAGCAGACACGCACTTCAGCTCCTGAGCCAAACATACACACATTATAAAACAATGAATTCACAGAAGGCATAAAAATATTGTAAAAAAAATTTATTTGGTTTAACAAAAACAAAAAGTAAAAAGTGATTCATGAGTACTTAAAAAAAGATAGACATCCTCACCCTCTGTCTGTCCTGATAGGCTGGTGTTGTGTCTGGCTCAATGTTGTTAAGCTCCGCCTCCACGCTATCCAACCATTGGCTGATGTCATCGTGTGAGCTTGCAAATCGCGTGGCCAACTGAAGGGCCTGTTCCAAAGTACGGAGGGCTTTGCTGCTGCCCGCTGTCATCTCTGCGTAGCGGCTTTTGATGCCATCTAGCTTCTCCTGAATCAACAGGACCTCCTCACCTGTCAGAGATCAAACATGATCACAGTCAAAGCAGGAATTTGTTGATACACCAATGAACACAGAGGCTGGATGGAAAAGTACCAGTGGTTTGTTTAAGCAGAGCCTGTCCATTCTTAATGGCCTGGTCCACTGTCTTCTTCCTGCTGATAATCTCTTCATTAAGAGCCTGTAGGGAACCAGCAGTAGAAACATTAACTCTGAACATAATTCACAGGGATATTATATAAAATAAAACAGAATGAATAAAATAAAATAAACTGCATTGGTATATGCAATTCATTTTTATTATTTAATCAGAATATCACGTAATTAATTTTAATTGAATGACAGATCTAGTATAGCTCTGACCTTACTGAGTGACAGTTTTTTTTAGGAAATATTCATATTCTCTAAACTGACTTATATGGTATTGTTGATCCTGGGCAGCTATGACCTTCAGAATCATACCAGTGTGTGTTTGTGTTGCTGCTCTAGTAGCTCCGGCTGATAACTCTGCACTGAGACCTCGGCCAGTCTCTGGGCCACCTCAGCTAGCCAGTTAAGGACTTCCACCTCTTCCTCTCCAAATAGCTGTGCATTGGCCAGGGCCTGCTCCAGCATGACCTCTCTCCGACTGCACCAATCGTGCAGCTCCGTGTGCCCGTTGCGCACTGACGCCACACGTTCGCCCAGCCAATCACGATCAGCCGCACAGCTGAGCGGGTGCAGTGATTGACTGAGAGTCTCAAGATGGTTTACATCATTCTCCCGAGAGGATACCTCCTCCTGGAGAGCCTGGGATTATAGCCCAGAGTAAAGAGGAGACGTGATTGAATGAGTAGAAGGAGAAAAAAAAAGACAAGGCAAACATAAACAAACATGACAATGCAGAATAATGACAAATCATAATGAACTGATGTGAGCAAAAAATAATATGTGAATCAACACAAGATTAGATGGAAACACAAAATCATGATGAAATTAAACTGCACAAGAAAAGGATGTGGGCATCACGACCCAAGTTTTGTGCCTTCTTAGATAACTGCTCTCCTACTAGTCCATTTAAAACCACAGGAGACTAACAATCTGTTCTCTCCTCTGCATCTCTAGTCAGTCTAATGATGCTTGACACTTTGAAAATCGCTTGCTAAAATGACAGATCTTGGTTCGGCAGCAACAATTCTGGAAATAGACTCCTAGGATACATCTCTCCCAGGTGCTGTGTATACTCTACCTTGTGCCTTACAATCTGCTGTGTGATTTTGGAGGTCTGGGTTCCCATTGGCTCAGAGGAGCTCAGGCGTCTCTCTGTTGCACTCAACCACTCACCGAGTGGCTCCACTGCCTCGTGGAACTGCAGCGCCAACACCTGCAGCTCCTCTAGCTGCTGCTGCCTGAGGACATGAGGTGAGGAGGAAATCTGTGTTATATTCTTATGACTAATCTGTTTTTATGGCCTTGTAAAGCAACCAAGTGATTGAGTTCTGAGTAAGAGATTCGATTAAGAGATTTTATGGCTGTGTCTGGGTGTCCATATTGCTCTGATTATGGAGTTTACCTGGCGCTGGCCTTTTCCAGCAGATTTGTCCATCTCTCTCCTAGGCTCTTAAGATGTTTCTGGATTTTGTCTCTATCTTGTGTCTCAGCCGTAGCAGCGATACGCTCTCCTTCTGCCCTGATCATCTCTACCGTCCCACGGCGGTCATCCAGCAACCGTTGCAGCAGCTAGGAATAATATGGAACCTCAATTAATTAAATTAAAATTCTTTATTTTTTTAATCTAGCATGATAAATTATTCCAATAAGTCTGACGCGAAATCAAGGGATCACAAAGTTTTTCAACTAAAGTTCCTTTTAAACCATTATTGATTTTTGTCACAAAATAGATCATTTCCAAAAACTTTAATATAATATAAGAATTTTTGGTTTTACTGGAGTATTTTAAAAACTGATTACATTAAAATTTGATTAAAATCTAACCTTCTGCTCCTGAATTTGTGCCTTGACCACACGGTACTCAGCAGACGGAGGTTTCTGATTGGCTATAAGCTCCTCTGTGTCACTCAGCCAGCTCAAGAGTGGCTCCAGAGCATCTTGGAACTTCCCACAATGCAACAGGGCCTCCTGCAGCTGTGCGATTCTTTCAGCAACCTGTGAATAAAAAAAAATTAATAAAAAAAATAAAAATAAAAATAATAATAATATTTAATTAATCCATTTCTATCAGTCAACTAAAAAGAAAGGCTAAAAATTGATGCAAGCTTACCCTCTTGTTGAGGGAGTTCCAGCACAGGTTGGTGGTCTCCAAGTCATGTTCCAGGGCCTGAGTGTCAGTGTGTTTGGCAGCACTCTGGATAAGACCTTGACCCACAGCGTTGACATGTTGTAGTTTGGGCTGAATGCTGTCTATCTGCTCCCTTTCTATCGCCTAAAGAGTGAACGAAAGCGAGAGAACAAATGACTTGAGTATATTACTGGACACTTGTTCTGCTACTGGACATGTGATATGATAGAATGCGTCTAAACAGGTCAAGGCTGTACAAACACAACAACATGATAATGGTGGCATGGCCATTTATAAATGGGGAAGCAGTTTTCAGCCCCCACACATTAACTGAAATTAAATACAGTGCCTTGGCAGCAACAATGTACAGCTTTATTTCCCCAACAGCCCAACACTACAGCTCTGACAGAATAGCCAACACAGTGGTTCACCACATACAGGTTGCCAAATACCCCTGACCAACGCCATGACCAGCAGTTACCAAAGTCAACATTAAATACATTTTAATTTTGTAATGTGACTTATCTCAAAGAAACAGAATATTCAACAGGAAAAGCACTTTAGTGCAACCAATTGGAATTGGTTGGATCACAAAAAGTGGGCATTATATACCAGAATGGATTTGGACCTCAATGCAACTTCAAAGGGGATTGTACAATTTCACTACTCTCGGCACTAGGGAGGGATGCATATGCACCATTATTTAAATTCTACTCTATACTAGGGATATGCCGGTATCAAGGAAGTGCGCTTTCATCCAGAGCTCTCTCACATGTTCCCCCATGTGCTGCGCGCGTCTTTCACCAGCATACAGCGGTGTTGTGCATTTTGACCAGTTGATGGGAAAAGCATTCTTAAAATGCATTCAAAATTCTGAATAATTTGTAATATATAATTATTCAGGGTATTTAGAAGTGCCCACGATAACAATATCGTGCATATTAATTACCGTGATATATCGCATTACCGAATACCGGCACAAGTCTACTCTATACCATTAAAGCCTGTAATTATTTTCATTTTCATGGCTGCTATTAAAATTATACTATAGGTGTGTCCGAAATCACATTTTGTCTGAATACTTTCTGCAATAAATGAAGAATGAAGTTCACAACCAATAAAAAAGTATATAGCATCATGAATGAAATTCTAAAGTACTACATCCGATATGTTGGCTTTGTTATGTGACATATGCCCTCAGTTCCATTGCATTTTAAATGTACATTTAGGCATTCCAACATATAATGTACATTATGAAAAAATGGATTTAATTTCAAGATAAAGAATACAATTTAACAGTGTAACTGAAATATTAGTTTTGAAAGATTAACTTTGAGCGTTAGATGAAGGCAAAGGTAATCATATAAAGCTAAGGGAAATCCTAAATCCTGAATCCACTGCATGTGAGTGTGTGTTCGTTTGTTTGCAGCTGCCTTGTGGCGAGGGGCTTCATTCCTGCTTCAAACAGGATGTCTGTCGGCCTCAAAACAATGAACCACAGCTTCAACCTGCTCCACCCTCTTATTGACAGTATATGTGACTGTGAGAATGTACGTGTCTATGCAACGAAGAGAGTGTTTGGTCCCCTTTTGTCTCTCTATATCCTGTCTAACATTATCCTGAATCCATCATCTAGGCCTCCTCCCCCTCCTTATCCTCAGTGTGAATACTTGGAGCCATTTCTCATTTTTAATCCTGATCATTCATCACATGTGGCACTTTTCACCCACCAGCACAGAAATAACACCATTCATCTGCATCTGTGGCACAACTCGTGTGGCCAAATCAAAGGGAAAGCTGTTAATTATTTCATAGACAATTATATATCTATATTATATATGCTACGACCAACAATTCACAACAGGAAGAGAGGAAATTTAGTTTGTCAGAACTCTGAAATCTAAACAAAGACGCTCACGTCCACATGTAAGTAGGACGTAGCTATACATATCCATACAGCAGAAAGAGGTCAGTGCAAACAAGAATCTCTCCTCTCCTTAGTCATTCTCTCAGAGAGCATTTGACTCTTGTAATGCAGGCCTCTGGAAAATATCTAGGATGCACACACACACACACACACACGAGAGACCGCTTCACACGTATCTCTCCAGCACTGTTTCTTTTGTCACCAAACTTTCAACTCTTTTGTTTCTCACTCAAACCCCCACAGATCACTTTTAGCTACTGGCAGTATTCCATCCTACCGCCAACCCACAACATCACTGCCATTGGAGTCTTTTGTTTCTCTCCCTTCAGTTCAAACCACAACTCCATACTGCCTAAGCGGGTATGCCCAGATTTAGTAAAGAAAATATTATAATAGCTGGCTAGGCTATATCCCCCACACTATGTGCTGATTTTCGCTGAGCTTTCTAAACCTTGTTCTGTTTCTGAAAGCATCAAGAGAAATTATTCTCATGCAATTTTTGCTTAAGGCAAGATAAAATCAATCAGACTAAATTATAGTACCAGTCAAAAGTTTGGACACACCCAAATTAATTTATGTTTTTCATTATCTCAAAGGCCTTTTGAGACTCAAGTTGTGCTTATGTATGAATTTCATACAAAACAGTTGAGTTTTTTAATGAATGACTCAATGTTATAACACCATTTGGTTACTGCATATTTCCCATAATTCCATTTGCATTATTTCATAATTTGGATGGCTTTATTACTATTTTAAAGTGCCTTTTGTCTGGTACTGTATTTGAAATGTCTGTGTTGCTGACTGGAAAAAAAAAAAGCATGCATGTTACAATGCTAGACATAATGTAGGCTACACTTCGTGAATGATTTAATGGAAACTTCAAGGTATTTTTTATGTTCGACAAATATAGCATAGGCAGAATCAAGGCATGGAATTTGCTCTTCAAAGCATAATACTCAAAGCATACAATAAGAAATTTAAGGCTATAAATGTCTAAAAATAGCAAAAAACAAATAAAAGTCTATCTTGTCTTGAGGGACAAGTAGAGAAAATAGATGTAAAATTTCTGGGCATCCCAGGAAATCACAGGAATATGATTTCTCTCGAATCAATCAAAACATAGCCATTAGCAAAATTCTTGTTCTATAGAGACTTTCCAAAACTCTCTCTCCAGTCCTACTCTTCCCGTCTTTGCTTTCACCTCCTGTGTTTTTCCGGCCTCGCAGTTCCTTGTCTTTATCTCTGCTTCCTTTTCAAAGGACTTCGGATGACTTCATTTTATCTGACCCAAATGTTCTAGCAAGGATATAATTCACAAGGTTCCATTAATAAATACTGAGCAAATGATGTTAAAAACATAGTCAATGAGTTCGCAGCATAAGTGACTGCTTTGTTATGGCCGTCGTTGTGCAGACGGGGCTGCAGGGTTTGCTCAAACTCTTCTGTTTGCAACAGTCTTTTATCACAGGTGTTTCCTGCACACTGTCTTTCACTGCCATCATTATCCAAACAATCAAATATACCCGCTGTTACCATACGCCATAACATCAGTGCTCACTCCCTCCGTGATTGCTCTTCCCTTTCCACTGTGCGTATCAGTTGGTGCGTTTGTTTACCTGACCGTCTCTAAAACTCTACCCTGGACAGACTCTAAATTGATTGTGGGTTTCAGATGTTACGTCAGACGTTTCTTCTGACGCCTCATGCAGCTCATATTTTGAGTACTACCAGGTGTTCTGCCATAGAGACTCTTTGTTCATTCATGATCAGGCTGTTGCAAAATCTTCTAACTTTGCCCTCTAAATCAGCCTCCATTGCAAGTGTGCAATTTCACTGGAGACGGCCTGTAACGGAGAGCTGCTCCAAAAGATTACAAAGATCTTTCCCGAGGTCTGTGGTTGACTCCCTCGGCTTCGAGCATTACGGGGGTGAGAGTCTGGCCTTGCAGTGATAGGACTGACATGCCCTTATCTTCTATTTATATTTCTAACAACTTTATACAGTGTTTGTGTGTTACTGGCAATTGTGGCTCCTCTTTTAGAGGCTGATGTTTATTTCTCACTTCCTTATCTCAATTGCAGTACCATCAGACTGCAGGAGGGGGATTTTAAGTTTGTCTGGCACTGGATGACAGCCACCTCTCAAATCAGTCATTTTGTTCTGCTCTTTGAATTTTTCAATCCCAACTGAGTTTAAATATCCTTTGCTAGCTGATCCTGTTCAGTCCCTCAGTTGCTATAATCCTCTCTACCCAAATCCAGCCTGACAGGGTTCCTGCATCTGATTACATCTGAAGGGACGGGGAGTTTTGAGAGTGACCATGCAGAAAGACAGATTTGGCCAAGGCTGAGGGTCAAATGAGATATGGACGACCAGTCAGACTGATAGAGACAGTAATGCAATAACTATCCAGTGAGCTTAAGAACTAACAGGCAGTCTCTCGGCCACCCGCCACTGTCACTGTGAAACAGAGCAGACACAGGCCTCGTCACGGCAGCCGAGAGAGAATGTCAAGCGCACACTCGCATTATGTCAAGAAATCGAACATGTATTTACAAAAAAAACATTCCTGTCTGTTTTTTGACTCCTAAATCTCTTTCGAATACATACACAGTGTGCTCACTTAGACAAAGCAGTGCTCAAACAGGCAGAAAAAGCAAACCCATGCAAATGTGTGCACAAATCCATTTGCCTGTAACCAAACACACAAACGTTCACTAGGGTTTGAATACTTTGGAGAAAGCATGCTTTTTAACTCAGTGAGCATGTTTGTGTTCATGTGATCATCACTGCAATAGACAAACAATCCCAGGATACATAAACATACCATGCACTCAAAAGTTTTCTACCTATATAGACACCTGGAATCCTTCCAGACTATAGTAATTATGTGTATTAACACTTACAAACATGGATTAACCAGTCATTCAAAAGAAGACTGTGCTTGGATCTCCATGAACAAAAACACACACACATCCCTTCAATCTAAACACAAACACCCTCTTACAGACCAGAAGGATCAATGCTGAAATATGCTGGAAGATTAACCAATTCACTATTATTTTGATCATACAATATTGTGCACCTTTGTAGTGTAAAATAGGACTAAAAGTGCAGCAGGGTAAATTTGAGTTTATTCTCAAGATTGCACAAAAATTCAGCAGCACTTCACTTCAACAGCGATCACGGGCAGCGACACAAAGTTGATTCTATGCTA